TAAACGCATAAAAACCACAAAAATTTACGTCGCTTTATGGTCAATGTATGCTCTTTCGGCCACACTATACATTCTGGATTGTTTAGGAGAATTTGGGATGCTACGTCGAACGGATAGCGTCACATCAACTTTTGCGTTCTTTTTGAAGATCTGCAGCGCTTCCGCATGTGTTCTGCCGGCCATCTGTACGCCATTCACGCTCAAAATCTCGTCACCTGAAGCAGCAAAACCGGTGATTTCATAGAATAGCTTCTCTGCATTTTGTTTTTTCTTTTTTTTTTTTTTTGGACAAAATCAGTCACAAACCCACTTGCACTTCGCTCTCAGTGAAAAGCGGAAGTACTTGGGAAGCAACCTAATCGTAGCAAATGCCATCCAAAGCTGCCCGCTGATAAGGCTGTCGAAAGCTCCCCCTTCTGAGAATTGCTACACGCAAAATGATGGCGGGTTTGACTCCCTAGCATATACCACTACCAATTTACCATCGAAGCGACTCGTAGAGAGATTGGTTGTCTTACCGGCAAGGCCCGACTTTCGATCTACTCCACAACAACAGTGTTATCCCACTGAATCATGCCTTCCAGCAGTTTTTTAGTGCTCTCAGTTTTATAGTGAATCCCTACAAAAACGCTTTTTAACTGGAATTTTGCGCGTATTTATGTCACAGTATTTTGCGATAACCAGGACATCTGTGTTGGAATTATGAATTCCTTTGCTGACAGTGTTCCAGCCGATCCTTATCAGCTGCATGCGGACTACCATTACCTGAACAGTGAGTGACGCAGTAGAGCAGAGTGACGACTATTCATGTATAAATAGCCGTGTTTTGTGATAACCTGTTTTCAGAAATGCAGAAATCATCGCCAAAGGAGTTCCTTTTGCAGAGGATAGATGGACCGGGAGGGAATCGAACCCTCCACCTCTGCTATCTCTACTTTTTCGAATTGTGACGTGTTGCTCATTACACTACCGATCATGATTCACAAACCAATTGAAGCACTTGTATTTTATCACTTTATACATACACTATAGACAAACAGGTTATAAGCAGCCGACAGATAACCTCTGGTGCTGCTATTACCATCACTGAGCGGCACTGTTCCAGTTTTTGTTAGCTTTTCATGGTTATTCGCGAATATGACTTATAAAATTCCTAGTCCTCAATACTGCTGAAACCACTGCTTTGATAATATTAAAAAAGTGATAATTTCAAACCAGGGCACTGCGTGAAATTTTTGAAATGACAATGATAATTCTAAACCTTAACTCAGTGGCAATATATTCGCAAAGTGAGGCAAGGTAAATTTTCATGAATTTTAGCCCATCATTAACTCTGAATACTCCACAAAATTAATATTTTTATCACGAATTTGGATGAGTAGCATTTGTTTCTTCACCCTGCAACTAGCTCGATCTAAAGGCGAAATTAAAAAATTAGAGGAAGGCGAATTCAGCAGTTTTCCTCCCTTCATTTCAGTATCTGATTCGAAGTCAAATGCGTGAATGTACTACTGCTCACCTTTACAAATAAGGCCACTTTTTGCAGCGAGACCATCCGCGAAGACAGTTTTGACAAAAATTCCCATAGGACCACGCGGTGAATCCAGGCCACCAACAATGCTGAAGCCCAGTGGATGCCTCGACGGCTGCTGCTGAGTTTGTGGCTGAGAATTCGATGTGTTAATTAGATCAGCTGCACCTCGATATAGCACTATTGTCCTTATTCGACTATTCATCCCGGTGCAATTATGTTTTTCCTGAAAAACCCAAATGATTGTTACCCAACTTCAAATTCTTAAGGCATATTCGCGCAAAACTCTAGACATACGCAAATTTAATGTACTGTATCTCACAACTTCCAATAAATTGTTTGGGTACTGGACTTTAGATCGGTCAAAAAACAACATGTCCGGTCTTTTGCT